CAGTTGGTTAATATTTTTTTTTCTATATTGATAGTTTTGAGTCATCCTGTAATCTATATGTATAAAAATAAATAAATAATTATTTTTAAATTATATGTTTTTGTTGTAGTTAGATATTTTATTTTTGATATAAGTTAGATTCGTTCCATTACTCGTTTTGTGAATATATTGAATTATATATATTTTTCTAATTAAATCAAATCAAATTAGTTTTATTTACCGCTTAATGCAAGTATTTATAAGATTTTTAATAATTAGACATATGTTGATTTTTAAGATATATTAAAAATAAAGAGACGATCAATAAGAATTTACAATCATAAATATGAGTATAAAGATAAACATTTGAAATTTCATGATAACATATTAATATTTACAATAATTAAATATTTATAAATTCTAAATTATTTTATACCTTAGATTTCTTAAAAGGTAAATTGAAATTTTTTAAACAAACTTAAAAATGAGAACTTAGATTTACTTGAGTATTTTGATTATTTATCTATTAAGTTCCATAAACATAAAAAACATAAAATTAAAAAGCAAACTATATATTAAAAAGAATTTTTAATAATGATAAAATATTATATTTTCATTTCATTAATAGTGTATAGTGCTACGCTATTTAAAAAAACTTGAAATTATTTGATCAGAATATTTATGTGTTAAAAAAAATTATTTTATTTTTAATATCTCTTAAATAAACACTAAAATGTTGTTTTATGAAAATGTCGAAAAAAATATTTAATTTCGTTTATATATAAACATTTTTATTTCAGAAATATTTCTTTTTTTTTGTATATGTGTGTTTAAAAAGTAAACATAAATTAAAAAAATTAAGTAAAATCTTATTATGAGAAAAGGAAATACATTATTAATATCAATCTTATTTAATATTTTTGTTTATTAAGAGTATCTATGTAATTAACCATCGTGAGAGTTAACGTGAGCACGACACGTAGGAAACTGACTTCTCAAATAATATTATAGAGATACATTTAAATTAAATATTAATATTTTGTGAACTTTCCTTTTTTTATTAAACCATATTATATATACTTATATTTTCGTTTTTAAATAGTTTTGTAAATTTTATAAATGTTTCCTTTTTATTTTATATTATTATTTGGAAATTTCTGAAAAGGAAATAATATTTAATTGTATTTTTAATTCATTAGGGGTATCATAGTAATCAATCAGCGTGAGAGTTAACGTGAACGCGACACCTAAGAAAGTGACTTCTCAAATAATATTATAGAGATATTACTCTGCATTATTCAAGATTTTGCTCATGTATCCATGGCATTAGGTCAGTAGAGATTAAAACTTAATTTGAAAACATAAGTTTATGACATCAGACCAATATTATAACTAACAGAACATTCAGTACTGATATGTTCTTATCATGCCATATAGCTAAATTCCTATTTAGATAACTGATTTACTCAGTAAAGTAAAAAACAAATATGCAAGTACGATTCATTTTATAATAAATTTTTTTCAATCTTAGTAGAAAATAGTCATCATAACTAAACTAACACCGAATTAGAGAAATCCAGTGTGGTGCATATGAAACTATATGTCTCAATAACAATAATATGGATCTTGGTTTATTAAACTAGTTTAAACCAACGAAATATATACAAAAGTAATAAAGCAATCAGCATTTATGACAAGTATAAATTCTGGTGAGTTTCATAATTACGTATATGTATGCATCGTGTGTTTCTATACCATACATGTAGGCCTGCGACTTCGGTTTTCCGAAACCGAACCGAACCGTCGGTTTTTGGTTAACCGCAATTTAAAAAAAAATCTGAAATAAACCGAATGAAATTTCGGTTCGGTTCGGTTATCGGTTTATTTCCGTTTTCAATTTTATTTCTAAAATAACCGAATTTTTAAGTTTTCGGTTAACTTTGGTATAATTTTTCCAAAATATTCGGATATTTTCGGTTAAATTCGGTTATTTCGATTAAATTCGGTTATTTTCGGTTTATTCGGTTATTTCGGTTCAGTTTTTCAGATATTTTCGGATATTTTCGGTTGTTTTCAGATATTTTCGGTTGTTTTCGGTTTTTAACATTTTTATTTTTTTTTGAAAATCGAAAACCAAACCGAACCGAAAATCGAATTAATTTTTATAACCATACCGAACTGAACCGAAATGAAAACCAGACCAAACCGAAAACCGAAAAAAACCGGTTCGGTCCGGTTCGGCCTATTCGGTTCGGACAAAAATCCCAGGCCTACATACATGTATGTTAACCTCATGTGCTGTCTACAGAAGTTGTTCAATTAATAAATGCAGCCGTATAGTTTCTTCATGTCTATATTACATGCATCAATGAGTTAAGCAATACTACACATGATATATCTTATTTACGCACACACACTTTTTTTGTCACAATTTACGCACACATACTAATATGTTACAAATATTCAAACCTATGTGAAACGTGAAGCTTGGTAATATATGCTAATGCTGGTTAATATCAATACTAACGTGATGACATGTGAAGCTAATAAAATATGTTAGTCAAGTTCGATCATCGGAGAAGAAGCTCAAAATGGAAAGGATTTTCTGTTATTCATCAATAGGCTTAACGTTTACATCTTATAGTATTGGTATTCTCGGTCTACATAAACCGGATACAATCAATTATAAAACTCTATTTAAACCAACTCAAACAAACTCCAACTCTATACATTAACATTCCCCCTCAAGATGACGAGTAAATGGAATGTAACGACATCTTGGAAATTAGAGCATTGAATTGAGTAGGATAGAGAGGCTTGGTCAACACATCAGCTAACTGAGTAGTAGAGCCAACGTGAAGAGTTTTGATCAAACCACTGTCAATACGGTCTCGAACTTGATGACAATCCAGTTCAACATGCTTAGTGCGTTCATGATAAACTGGATTGTTAGCAATATGTATTGCAGCAGTTGAATCGCAGAAGAAAGGAATAGGTTTAGCTTGAGGCGCATGAAGCTCCCGCAAGAGATTAGCAATCCAAACCACCTCTTTGACAGCAACAGACATGGCCCTGTACTCAGACTCGGCTGAAGAATGAGAGACAACATCCTGTTTCTTGGACTTCCAAGCAATGAGAGCAGTGCCAATGAACATACAGAAACCAGATGTGGAGCGACGTGTGTCGAGACAAGAACCCCAATCTGCATCAGTGTTTGTCTTAAGTGTCAAGTCTGAGTCCGAGGAATAGAACAAACCAACTCCAAGAGAACCTTTGAGATAATGAAGCACACGAAAGGCAGCCTTAAGATGTGCATTTTGTGGAACCGAAGCAAACTGACACAACTTGTTGACGGAGTAAGTAATATCCGGACGAGTAATAGTCAGGTACATTAACCGACCAACAAGACGTCTATACACTGTAGGATCATCCAGAAGAGGTTGATCTTTATCATAGAAGAGCTTAGCATTGGGATCCATAGGAACAGAAGCTGGTTTACAAGCCATAAGTCCAGTTTCTTCAAGCAAATCCAAGATATATTTTCGTTGACAAATTGAAATTCCCTTACTTGAACGAGCAATCTCAAGGCCAAGAAAAAATTTCAAGGGACCAAGATCACGGAGCTTGAAGATAGCACTGAGACTTGCTTTAAGTTGATCAACTTCAGTGTACGCAGATTTGTTCTTCGCATCTAACGCTATGGTCATAGCTATACACCAATTATCGTAATTCGTACCATCTAGGACTTCAGAGACGAGTGATAGACCTGGATTATCGCTGTTGGTGAGGTAGTAAGGAGAGTGAATGTTATCGAAGGATTCCGATGAAGCGATCGACGAGTGTGGTGGCGTAACCTTCGAATTTGCAGATCGACGAGCCGAAGACGTCGCGCGAGCTGAACGACGACCGATCCTCACCATTTTTGAGCTTTAGAATGAAGCGTGAACAGAATCGGGTGAGTTTTCGAGCCTCACCGCTCTGATACCATGTTAGTCAAGTTCGATCGTCGGAGAAGAAGCTCAAAATGGAAAGGATTTTCTGTTATTCATCAATAGGCTTAACATTTACATCTTATAGTATCGGTATTCTCGGTCTACATAAACCGGATACAATCAATTATAAAACTCTATTTAAACCAACTCAAACCAACATCAAACCAACTCCAACTCTATACATTAACAAAATATAAAGCAAAATATAGAATTAGTGAAAGCAAACACACATGAATATAAAAAGAATCGAAATTGAGCATTAGCTTACAAACGTAGATATGATCTCACAAAAGTGATCGTAACGATATTTTTACCTTTAACACAAGCGTACATCGATATCATCAACTTAAGCTTTCTAAGAGCATCCGCAACCGTGAGACTCATAGGAGTCTTTAAGAAAAAAAATATTTCGGATTTGATAAGGATATTTTAGATTTTATTTTTTTTAAAATAAAATAAAAAAAGATGACCATTCGCGGACTGCCACGTATTCTGGGGACCCGAAAATATTGTAAAGATTCGCTAAGAAACAGTCATTATTCAAAGATTTTAAAGATCGAAGCCATAAATTTTTGTGGGATCTACTGATTTTTAATTATTTTTTCCTTAAGGACTCTCGTTGTGGATACTCTAACTCAAACAATATATTAGTCTTAAATATACTTTCTCACGTATTTCAACGAAAGTGTAAATAAATTAAAGTATGATGGAAACACATAAGAAATATTTCGCTTAAATTGGACGAGGTAACAAAATATATGGGACTATGGGAGAAACAGTCATAGTAAGAGATCCGAGAACTTGAATGAGAGGGACCTAACACATCATCGACCAAGGGTTTTAGGGTTTTGTTCATTAGCTAAGATTCAGTGTTTAGAGATTTGTGCTGATAAGTGTTGTCAATATATATATAAAAACCCTAACAATGACTACGACTGAAATTCGGCGAATCCGGTGTGTATCGTCGCCGATAGGTTAGCTCCGGCGCCCTCTCTTCTCTTCTCCTCCAACCTCTCCTCTGTTCTCACTATGGAGTCTGAGATTGAAGCTTCTCAGATCACGTCACCACTGGAGATACCGTGTACTGTCTCTGATGCTGCTGTTATTTCTCCGCCTCTGCCTCTGTCTTGTATGTCTTCTTTAGCTCTGATGGACTCGAGCAATGGATCCCAGGTCGTCGTCAACTCTCTGTCCGTGTCCTCCCCAACAGCTCAGTTGGAGAATCAGGAAATGAAAGCTTCTGATATCAACAATACAATGCCATCCGAAATTCCTCCTCAAGAAACAGTTTTTGTTCCTACATTGGGAGCTTGGGCAAAGCCTCTCCTCTTTAAACCTACTGCCACTCCTCCCGAACCAAGTACTCCTCGAGATTATGACCCAGCTATAGTCGGGAATCAGTTAGCTGCTCTTTGGCCGTCTTTAAATGACGAGATCTTGAACAAGAAGCCAAAAAGCAAACATCAAACTCGTACTTTACAGCCTCCAATCGAGAAGCTTCCACTTCCTGAACTAAAAGCTGATGGTACTCTTCGTTTTCCGTGGACTGCGAGATTGAGCCCTCAATCGCGCAATTTATACCGAGCAGCCTCTACAACTTATAGACTAGACGGTACACCAGAAATTTCTATTCCTTCTAAAGTGCTTAAGATTGGTCCCGAGAATAAAGACAAATATATCATAGGCAAATTTCATAGGTGTTCTCTACCTTCTGGTGGTCATGTTCATGCAGTGGTTAATAAAATTTGGGGAAGAAGCTGTAAAATTAGTTGTAAGAAGATTGGTGAGTCTTCCTACATGTTTCATATCCCGCATGAACCTACTCGTCATTGGGTTATTCAGCGAGGGGTTTGGCATATTGATGACTGTTTGCTTTTCGTCCTGCCTTGGACTCCAGAGGGTTCTTTCAAAATCCCTGAAATATCTACGCTACCGGTATGGGTCAATCTTAAGAACATTCCTGATTGTTGCTACTCTAGACTAGGGATAAGTCACATTGCTTCAGGACTTGGAGAACCTATTCTTATTCATAAACCCCGACTTGATCCTACCAGTATGGGTGAGGCAAAGGTCTTGGTTGAGATGGAGTTGGATAAAAATTTCCCGAAGATTATTGCACTTGATGATAAACAAGATAGCATATTTCTTGTTGATGTTGAATACAAATGGATTCCATCTATGTGTGATAGGTGTGGTAACCTTGGCCACAAAGAGAAGAGGTGTCTCTTCCCGTCTAAGCCGCCTAATGATCCAATCTTACCGCCACAGACAAATGCTGTTAGTAGTGAAATCCCTGTTGTGGATATTGATCGTATTCTACAACAAAGGGATCCTTTACTCTCTTCTTCACTAGCTCTTGTGCTCCAGAGTACAAACGCTTTAGAAGGTCCACATGCAACTGATCCCATTCCTGGTTTGCAATCTAATGTGGAGGATGCTCATGACCTTCCTTCAGGTCCATCGGATGATCTAGAGGTATGCTCAAGAAACCCAACGATGTTAACTAAATCTTTTTCTTCTCCCTCACTACAAGAGAATCCCGCTGATCCGCTTAACTCAGTTACCACTTTCAGCACATTAGTAGATTCACAATCTACTCCCATTGATACATCGATTATGGAGTTTTCTTCATCCAACATTATCAACAATGAGGTCTTAGAATCTCTTGTTTTTGATCCCGTGACCACAACACCTAACCAGTGTGCATTTGAGAGTCCTTCTCGTTTTAGAGTGCTAGGTGACGTCGATGAAGCTGAGAATGAGACTTCAAGTTCGTTCAGTTTGACAAGAGGTGGGAGGGAATCAAAACCTCTTATCAAACCAGTGTGCATTTGAGAGTCCTTCTCGTTTTAGAGTGCTAGGTGACGTCGATGAAGCTGAGAATGAGACTTCAAGTTCGTTCAGTTTGACAAGAGGTGGGAGGGAATCAAAACCTCTTATCAAATACCAGAACATGGAGTGGCAAACAGCTCGTGGAAGAGGAAAGCGTGGTCGCGGCCGTGGCTCCTATCATTAGCTACTGTCTTTACTACCATTGATGGATTTTCTAGTCTCTACCTTTGTTTCATTGGTTTGAGATTTAATGCATCATGAAGTTTGTTTCATGCAAACTTTTTCCAACTATAAGATCTTTGATCTTATCTTGTAATAGTTTATGTTTTAAATTGAAAGCCATTTTTCAAAAAAAAAAAAAAAAAAAAAATATATATATATATATATATATATATATATAAAGAAATTTGTGTGTCTTATTCCATGAATAGAATTTGGGGAAATAAATAGATTTGACCAGCAAGTAATTTTAAGACTTTTCTTAATAAACATCACATAATATTCATAATAATTTCCTTTTATTTTTAATATTAATATTATTTATTTTTATTTAATTCAAAATTTTAATTAAAATTTTGTTCCTGTTGTTTTATTTTTAATTACAAGTAAATAATTTTAATTAAAATTTTATTCATGTTGTTTTATTTTTAATTACATGTAAATAATTTTTAATTAAAATTTTTTTCCTTTAATTTTAAATTTATTTTTTCAAAATATTATTTCTTTATATTGTTAAGTTAATTTTCTTTTATTTTTTAATATTTAAAATAATTAGAAATTGTATTTCATTTGATTAATAAAAAAAGGAATTCTCTCAAATAGACATTTTAAAGTTTTTGTCACAAAAATAAAACTCAAAAACTAATTACCAAAATAATATTTTTTATTTTGAAATTTTTTTAAAAAAAATTTGAAATCCTATCCCAAAATCCAACTGCTCAACTCTATACCCTAAACTATAAACCCTAAACGCTAAACCCCAAACCTCAAATCTTAACTCTAAACCTTAATTTCTAGATTAAGTAACTCTAGAGGTATTATAAGTGTATATTTACTTCTTTTGATAAAATATTTATATATATTTTAGTTATTTTCAATTTTTAGATTCTATATTTGTGACAAAAACTTTTCAGGTATATCATAAAGAATTTCTCTACAAACTAATTCTGGGATTGTGAAAAGAAATTATACTATAGGGACAAACTAAGGTTGGTTTTATCTAAGCAGTCAGATAATAATTTTTGTTCTATTTTTTGGCAAATTTTCCTAAAATTAGTTGTCTGAAAACGAAATCAGAATATTCAATAAGTCAAAAACACAATCACGATGATCCACCAATTAACATTTCACCACCGGGTTTAAAAATGGGCATTGGCTTTGCGTTTCTATCACTGACCCCAACGCAATAGCTGAATTCAATTACGTCCATTTTATTAAGACAAACGGGGTCCAAAATCTGAACACTAAAAACAAAATATACGCTTGTTAAAGAAGAGAGCATTCTCTTAATAAAACGCACCATTAGGCTTTAAATAAACACTACTAAACAAACTCTGGTTCCTAAAATTACATAGAACTGTTAGCTGCCGTTCTTGGGTTATGCTTTGTTGTTGTAGGAACCATGAGCGGTCTCCGCAACATCCTGACGTGGGCTTGTCTCAGGTTCTTGCTCGTTCTTGTCCAAGTTTACTCCTTCCTGTGATGATACTCCCAAAAATCGATTCTGCAAGAGAGAAAACAGGAACTTATCAATCTATTATGAATCTGGCACACAAACATAAAAGATTGTTTCTACTGTAATTAACCTTGAGAGAGCTATTTTCAGCAAGAAGCTCTTCGTATTGGCTTTTAAGCTTATTTATTTCTGCTCTAAGGCTTGCGTTTTCTCCATTCAACACATCTGCTCGTTGTGCCAACTCATCACATTCCGCCTGAAGCACACAGTCATAAAAAAAAAAAGACAAAGCTTTTGGTCATTTCATATCTACTGGGATTGATGCTTTTGACCTTGCTTATGTTGTACCTGTTTACGCAGCCTGGATCTACGAGCAGACTCTCTATTGGATTGCTTCCGTCTCTGTCGCTTAAGCTCTCTCTCATCCTATTTTCCAAAACAATCAAACACGCCGCTTCCTTGGAGAATAATTGTAAAAGAGAAGTAAGAAAGGGGACACAGTCACACAAACCTGTATCCATGTTTGTGATTGAGAACCATCTACTACAACTCCAGGAACTGTTGTAGAAACATTCCCATGACCGCTCCAATAATCCATTCCTATGTTTAGATTTGTTGGTGGGCCTGTAACACCTGTAGCCGAAACTGGCATAATCGGAACCATCTGGTTCACAGGTTGATTACTTCCATTACGGGGTGGTCCATGAGCCGAATCTGAAGCTGTTTCACCTGAAAATAAAAGAGCAGTCTCTGAAATAAACATCGTTCACATAATAAGAGTTGAGAGATATGTGAAAAGATAGATTAACAAACCATCCTTCCCGTTGTTTCTAGACCCAGAGTCCTACAAAATTCACAAAGCTATTCAGTAACATGATCATATTCATAAACTGGAATGAAGTAGTGGATTGCTAGAAACTTACGTTTTGTGAATTTGCATCACTTCCTTCACTTGAACCATCAGAAGCACTCTCAGCACTGTGTAAAAACCAAACCAAAATGTGCCAGTTTCAGTAAATATATAATACAATGACAACTCACATAGCTAGCAAACATAAGTTCAACGCCAACAAGCTTTTGATTTTTTAAACAATCATGAAGTCACATGCCTTTTAGAACAAGCTCCATTAGCTGATGCTCCTGAGTTTTTTCCAGCGTCATTGTTCTTTCCTATTATCATATTCAAACTTCCCAAGCTTCCTTTTGATCTTTTGATTGGCAGCTTCTCCTTCACCTCAGCTTGTTTACCATCACCCTCGACACCGCTTCCTGTATTTCCCTGAACCCGAAACATTACTCAATCAAGATTTCATTTTAACACAGAAACTAACGAGAAAAAAATGAAAAAACTCACAGAAGCTTCACCCATTCCATTAGGAGAAGGCATTGCATAGGGACTATATGGATAAGATCCCTGTTGCAGCGCGGAGCACGTTAGCAGAAATGACATAGACATTCACTATATTGAATACATAACCGGAAGATCAAAAATGTAGCAGTACCGGAGGTAATGAAGGATGACCGTACATCCCACCTGGAGGATACATCACATATGGATGAGGCGGTGTTCCATAAGGAGGCATCATATGCTACAAAAGAACACAATATATTAAGTAATCAGCATAATGTTTAGCTTGATAAAACCTACACAAGTTACCAGCATAGTATGAAAAAAAAAAATCAAAATTGATAGAGTAACCCCCTGAAGCTTCAAAGAGGTGTTAAATGGATAAAAGAAACAAAATTTACCTGAACTCCCCACATATAAGGGTGAGGTTGAGGACTTGAGGCCACGTAACCATGAGGCCGCATAGGAGAATAAGCCTGTTAAACAAGAAACATAAAAATGAACCACAAAAGCAACACCTAAATGAAGACAAAGAAACAAGAAATCTCCTTTTAAGACCTGGAAACCAGACCAATCTGGGGTAGCCATTCCAGCACTCACAGCAGAAGAAGAAGGTTCCTGCAAACACAGATACATTTATACATAACAGGAGCATGAACAGAAACAAACACTTTTGGCAGATCAATATACAACAATGCAGACCTGTGAAGTAACAGGAGCAGAAGAAGAAGGCGGAGGAGGAGTCTTAGGTTCGTTCTCTTTACCCGATTTTTCCAACTCGCTGCTACCCATTATCACATTCACCAACTTCTAAACAATGCTCACAACGAGAACTTCTACTTATAACCAAAAACCCAACAATTAGATGTCACAGAGTTGAGTAGAGATTCCCACAACTAAACATGGAGCAATACAGTTCTGCTAAGCATTTTACTAATAAACCCATATACTGATAAACTCAGAAGCTGAAAATATCACATTTGAATCTCAGGAAGGATAGCTTTTAGTTAACAAAATCCAACAAATCCAAATAGAAAAGAAACAATCGAATCCAGCGTTGGAGTTGAGAATCTAACTAAACAGTTATTAAAGTGTTGGCATCTTTGTGTAAAACGTAATTAAAAACTAGGGATAGGCGGAAAGATACCTCAAGATCGGATCAATCTAAGAGAAAACCAGAGATGCGAAATGGCTCGATGAGCTTCAGATTTTCAGAAATTGGAGTAGAGGTTAGGCGAATCAATGTCTTTTTGAAATTAAGTTTTGCTGATTGGTTCGTGTCGTGCTTCCGACGGGGGACGAGGATGAAGGTGCGTGGGCTTGACAGGGGATATAATTCATCTTAAATGTTGAGTTATTACACCCCATATCTTTATAGTATTTGTGAAATTTACCCCGTAAAGCTTCTTAGTGACATTTTACTACCATAATGTTTTATCACATTCTATAATAATTTAGTTTTATATAGTTTCGAGTTTATTCAACTCTATTTTATGTTTAAAGAACAATAACGTCAATCAATATATTATGTAGATGTAATCGTACAGTGAAAATACTAAATCAGTACGTTTCTTCGAAGTGCAAAATCAAATTCAAAGTTAACTGTTTGTACTAAAAATAAGTTGAGAGTTTAATTACTTCTGATGTTAATAATTATTCAAAGTTTTTAAAATAATATACAAATTTCTAAAAAAAATTGCCTTAACCTTTATTTGTAGGTTATGTCAAATTCAGACTTAACTTTGCTATTAACCTTGCAAGCACATATATTTTATGATGAAAAATTTCAAAAATAACTTAACAAATATCTTGGTAATTTGAAAAAATTTATGTGTCTAAAATTATTTTTTCATTTAAATCAGTATTTTTAAATTCAACTCGGACCGTGGTTAAACTGGTAATCCGATAATTCAATTTTGATTTTTAAAATATCCATATTTAAATAATCACTAAAACCCGAGACTAACCGATTAAACCGATGGATAACTGGTATGTAATCCTATAAAAATAAGTTTATTTTCATTGTTTTATATATTTTTTTTTAATTTATCTAAATAATTTGAAAGAAAATTGGAAAAATATATTAAAAAGATGAGATATAATATTTTGTATTGTTTGGACATAAAATTAATGATAGTGTTGTTTGAAAATATGGATAGTAGCTAGGTTGCATGGAATCGGAAACGGATACGCGGAAACGAAATGTTTCGAAACGTGGAAACATGATTTTTAAAAAAAATTAGAAATGGAAACGTTTTGGAAACGCCTATAATATATATACGTGTATATATATGTATGATTAATCAACATGTAAATTTATTTTTTTGTTTGATTTACCTAAGAAAAAAGATTAAGTAATATAAATATTTTTGTACATTTTATTAAGAGAAAATGACTAGAATAGACCTAAAAAGTTTTTATCACAAATATAGATCTTAACAATTAAAATGACCAAAATAGCATTTAAATGTTTTATTAAATATACAGTTATACTCTTTGGGTTAACTAATTATAGATTTTTTGTTTAGATTTGAGGAGTGGAGTTTTGGGGATATGATTTCGAATTTAAAAAAATTAAGAAAACTTAAAATTTTCAAAATAAAAATTTCTATTTTGGTCATTTTAATTTTTGAGGTCTATTTTTGTGATAAAAACTTAAAAGAGGGCTATTTTAGAGAATTACCCTTTTATTAAAATTATAATCAATAACTAGAAAAGTAACACATGTTATCATTCGATAAAACTATGGAGCAAATTCATTCCAAATTAAATCGTTATACTAAAATGATAACAAATATCAAAATATAATATTAGAATACAAAATAATAAACATGTAATCATTAACATCAAATGCCAAATATTTATTTTATACGTTTCTAATTAGAATCGCGAGTTTCCAAATTAGAATCGCGAGTTTCCAAATCAGAAACACAAGTTTCCATCGTGTTTCCAAAATAAAATTTTCAAGAAACGTGTTTCCAAAGAGTTTCCTCGAGTTTCCAAGAGATTCCGATTCCGAAACGTTTCCGAAACAGGAAACAGACCTTGAACGGAGTTTCCATGCAACCTAGGATAGTAGTATAAAAAAATGAGTATATTGTTTGGAGACATAGATAATATTAATAAATATATTGTTTGGAAATATGGATAGTAGTATAAAAATGAATATTAGTAATTATTGTATATTTAACTATAAAGTAGAAAGATGTATTTAGTTTAAAAACTTACAAAATAAATGTTAGGTCCAAACTAATGTTTCTATTTAATAAGATAGATATTTTATACTTTTTCTAAAATCTCATTGACATTATCGTACATATAAGAACTGGCTCATACCATGTAACAATATAGTCTTGACTGGTTTGAACGCAACAGCAGTCACAAATAAAAATAGGGAAAATTTCAATTTTACCACATTCATTGTACCATTTTTCATTTTTACCTTTGCTAGCAAGACATTTTCATAAATACCTAAGTCAGTAGTGACCAAATGACTAAACTAACCTTTTTAGTTGTCATGAGATTCATCGTATCAGTCAATTTTCTTAAGCTTTGGTGTCGTCGTCTCCGACGAGATCCATCGTCACTTTCTCTCACGCAGCCGGCGACAAGAGATTATGAGAATCGCGATTGAAAACCTCAAAGATGTTGGCTCCTCTCCACAATTCACACTGGTATGTTTCTAATTTGTGTATTTTTCAGATTTGTTCTTTCTATTATTTCTAGACCTCTCTCACACCGGAGAGTTCTTCAAGGGACTTTCCCTTAGGTTCAGGGATAAGGAAGGTGAAGAGCATACCGAAAAAGTTAATGACACCAAGCATGATCAGAGAGTTCTTGACTCCAATGCCTGGTGGATATCCTGCGTCTGTCTTGGTCTTGTCTTGTGGTTGAGGAAACCAAAACAATTGCTATCTTCAACATAATATAGAGAATAGAGATACTTATTTGTTCTTGATTTGTGTTTGGCAGGTCATTGCCAAGAAGTGGAGCACCACCTCGTGAGTCTTGATATAGATTCAACTCCAAAGGTTTCAGCGTCTGGAGTAGATTCAAAGGATTCACTTGAATCAATGGTGGACTGTGATTCTGTGGATGAGGAATCAAGTAGAGCAGCAGAGGAGATTCAAGAGAGGACCATGACTGATTCAATTGCAAGGTCAAGAACTGGTACTGTTTTGGAGTTGCAAGTTGAGTTCGCACGAGTTCCAGCGATTCATATACCAGAGGAAGGTGATTCAACTACCAAGGTGGAATCGACTGATTGGATGCAAGAACACGAGGTATTAAACTCTGTTTTGCAACCAAGCCATAAGATGGATGATATGCAGTCTGATTTGCTTAAGAAAAATAGCTCACAGCTTCTTTGCAATGATTCATCTAATGCTCATAGACTTGGTGCGTTCATTGCTTCAAAAGGAGACCAAATTTACATTTTAGATGTGGATATGAGAGAGGAACTGATTCAAAAGGCAGTAGAAGGTGTTTATTTCGTTGCACACCAGTTGTTTGATCAAATGTTGCTGAGAGTTTGTTTTAAGATGAATCAAAGGAGGTATCAAAAGGACTGGACTTTCAAGTACAAGCTTAAGAAACAAAGCCAGCATTTCAGTGACAAGGTTTGTATAGAGAAGGAAGAGCTTCAGGTGGTTGTTGGTGACAGTATCAATGATGGTTTTGGATGGGATAACTTTTGTGGTTTTCATGTAGAGTTGGCAAGTGTTTGTGATACTGGTGAGAATATGATGCTAGCTGAAAACGTTGGAGCCAAAAATATTGCAGAAGTTCTGAGCAGATGAACTGATTCGAGTGAAAAATATGTTCCAAACTGAGAAGGAAAGGTGTACTGGTCTTGCTGTTATGTTTCAGAAAAGGGCTGTGGGACAAGACCAAGTAGTACAGACAGTTTCTGAGGCGCTTTTGTGGCCAAGGGCAGGACTGGGTTGTAGAAGGAATGTGTGCGGTTCAAACCAGGTTGTGGTTATTTGGTTTCAGATTGTTGATGCTGATAGAAAAACATACATACAGTGCAGTGGCTCAAATGTATGGCATCGTTGGAAGAACATGAGTGAGATAAGAGAAGCTACTTCAGGTTTTATACATTGTCTGTTTCTGTTCAGTGGGTTATTATGGTTAAAAGATAATATCGCTGGGTATGAGGGTGCTCTGATCATGTTGCAACAGAGCGCTAAAGTGATATCTGAATTGCCAAAATACAATTTTCTGCAATTTCAGAAGATTGACAGTGATGGTGAGGTGGCTAATCACGATGACCAAGCCCCTGTCTTCAGTGTCTACAATGTGGAGACATTAGCAGTAAAAACATTTAAGACTAAAGAAGAAAGTCAGAGGAGAAGGAAAGGGAAGCAACAAACTAAACAAGAGAAACTTCTAAATCTTGGAAGTTTAAGTTCAAAAGAAAATCAGAGGATAGATATGTCATTGCAATTGGTATTGGTGTTAGCTTCTTCGGTCCACTTCTTGTCCACAAGACTCTCAAAACAGTTCATGAAGCTGCTGAATGTGTCAAAAGATGTCAGCTGCAGATTCTGTCAAAAGACTTCTTCTGCGTTTATAGATCTTTATAAAAATTTATGACAACATGAGCTTAGGTTTCTAATAAGATTTTATAAGGATTTATAAAAATTATAAAGTGTTTATAAAGGTTTATAAAGGTTTACAAACCATTTATAAATGTTTTATAAATCATTTGTTACAATTAGTTAATCTTTCTAAAAGGTTAAAAACAATTTTAGAACTTTATAAACCATTTTGAGAACTTAATAAACTATATCTTATAAATTATTTATAAGGGCTAACTAAATCATTTATAAAGGTTCCCATAAAACTTTTTATGAACCATTAGTACTATTTATAAATCATTTTCAAGGATTTGTAAAAGACTTAGTCTAAATTCTAAACTATTTTTAAGAGTTTATAATTTATAAGAATATATAGAATTTTTTTATTATAATCTATAAGTCATTTATAAGAATATATAATATTATTTATAAGGGTTTATAAAATCGTTTAGGGTTTATAAAATCATTTATAAGGACTTTTAAATTCTAAAGGTAATTCAATTATAAAGTTAAAACATTTTATAAAGGCGTTTAAATCATTTATTAGGGTTTATAAAACATCTATAAGAATAAAAAATAAATTTTTAAAGATTTATAAAAACTTCTAAACACTTAAATTAGTTTATAAGCCTTTATAAATTAGTTTATAAACTCTTCTAAATTAACTTATAAACCTTTACGAATCATTTTATAAGCTTTTTATACATTAAATTAGTAACCTTATTAAATTAGTTTATAAACCTTTACAAATCAGTTTAGTATTTCAAACAACTTCTTGATTTCTTAAAAGCTTGTAGTTATTTGCATTATTAGTATTGTCTCTTTGATGTTTCAGGATAAAGATGAGAGTTCAAAGTCCATTCAGAAGGGATTACCTGTTGTATCATTTTCTATTGGAAGTTCAGCCGAGTTCGTGTATTGTGATCAGATGAATGATAAGCCAGAACATGGGTCAAGAGAGCATGCGAATTACCAGGAGGAGGAGGAGCTTTATTTGGAGCCTGCAATGAATTTGAGATTGTCTGATTTAGCATATACACAATTTGTATTCTTCTAGTCTCTATTGCAACTAAAGGGTAAATGCTGTCTGATTAGGTTCAGAGAATTTTATAAACAATTTATAAAGACTTATAAATTTTTTTGTAAAGTCTACAAACAATTTATAAAATTTTATGGAAAGGTTAAAGTTAATGAACAATTTATAAGGTTTATATAGGTTTACGAATCAATTAGAACGTCCTAATCATTCATAAGAATCTATAACCATTTAGAAAGGCTTATAAAACAATTTATAAGAGTTTGTAAAATAATTTATAAGGGTTTACAAAATATGTTAATAATCACCTTCTTAAACTATCTCGACACCTTCGTCAATTTCTTCCTTTGTTCGCATCGTCTGGATCTCGTCAAGTTCGCTTGAATTCGCGAAATTCGCTGATGATTTCTTTTGGAGCAACTTCCAATTTGATCTACGGACAAGGATTTTCTTATAATAATCAATAAATCATTTATAAGAATATATATAAAATTATTTATAAAGGTTTATAAAATTATTTATAAGGATTTGTAGAAATTCTAAAGATAATCCAATTATAAAGTCTTAAAACATTTTATAAAGGCTTATAAATCATTTATAAGGGTTTATAAATCATTTATAAGGGTTTATAAATTATTTATAATGGTTTCTAAATCATTTATAATGGTTTATAGATCATTTATAAATATTTATAAAATCATTTGTAAATTATTATTAGTTTTTATAAGGCTTTATAAATTATAAACATTATTTTAAAAGCTCAAAATTATTTATAAGACTCATTTTAAATATTTATAATGGATTTATAAATCAATACAAAATGATGTATAAACATTTATAGCATAGTAAAATATTGTGGTTATTAGATCTCTTCATCTACAGCTGTTATAGTTTTACTGATATAATATTTGATTATGCAATTTTTTTATGTAGTGCTAAGTAGTTGCCTTTGTGTGGTGATGCCGAGACTTGAAACTGTTTTATCTTAGTGATTAGATTTCTTCTTCGTATATCATAGTTTACTAGTGTGATCTTTGATTATGAAAGTTCTGCATATAGTGTAAACTAGCTATCTTTGGGTGGTGATGCTGAGGCTTGAGAGTGTTATATCTTAGTGATTAGGTCTCTTCATGTCAGTCTATTGTAGTTTACTGATGTAATTTTTGATTAGGAAAATTCTGCATATAGTGTAAAATAGCTGCCTTAGTGTTGTGATGGTAAGAGTTAGAAACTGTGAAGTCTTGGTGATTAGATCTCTTAATCTGCAGCTATTGTGGTTTTACTAATGTAAGCTTTGTTTATACATTGATTTGAATTTTCATTTCGCAGGAGCTGTATGTGAACATCGGCTGGCCTTTGTACCGTAAACATGGTCATGCTTTTGAGGTAAGAACTTGTTAATTTGGCTTTTTGTATTCCCTTAGATAGTTATTTCTCAAGTAAGAATCACAAGTTGTAAGTAACTTTCTCAAGGAACTAGCTTTCACGTTGAGAAAGCTTAGTCTAAGTACTAGTCAAGAGAGAAGACATAGTGATGGTAATAGCTAGAGAATTGTGTTGTCAACAAATAATGATCAACGTCAGTGTTTCATTTTATCATTATTTTCAAATGGTTGACAGAACATAAGATGATTCCACATGATTCCATGGCAGCAATGTTTCAATGAATCATAATCTGATTCTGCACCACAAATAATACTCTAAAACAGCTGCATCCTAGTCATGATCGGTCTGAAAATCAACTAGCATATCTTGGACCTCCGAGATGATCTCTTGAGAAGGTTTCGGCACATCTGGCTTCCCATATATGTTGTAGCATCCTTAAAGCTACATGCCAGAGGTAAGACCATGAAGAAGTAGAGTAAAATCAGAGTCACTGACCAAAAGCACAAGTGTAGGCTTTATTACAGGATTCTTTACTATGTTCATACCTGCGTCCATCCAAATAGCTTAAGTGATCTAAGTAACGAGCAGCAACTCATGATCCTTTTTAGTTCTTCTTCTGTTACTTTTCTACACCACGAGAGGTCCAAATAATGCAACCTCTTACAATATTTAGCGAGCAAAATAGCAGTTTCTTTACCAACCTGTTAATCAAACACAAACATACACAACAACACAACTCCTTTAATCACTTGGAAGAAACCAGCTTATATAAAGAGGATGAGACTTTTATGTACTAAAACACACTCACTTCTCTGACATTGTTTAGGCAGAGGTTGTTAAGAGAACCACCACAAACTTCAAGAAACGCGGCTACACCTTCATCATTGACAAAGACATGACATAGATTGGTATTAACAACAATAGACAGAAATTATGTTAAAAAAAAAGATAACAAATGGTGAGACTTGAGCAAACCTGAATCGGTTTCTTGTAAATTTGACCGAGTTCAAAGATCTGCAACCATCTGTAATCTCTTTTAGTGAAGCATCTGCCAAATTATCTAACTCTGAAAGGTCAAGAGCTTCCAGGTTAGGACAATATCTCCCAACAGTCCAAAGAGTTCCATCATTCACCCCTCTGATCACCATAAAGAAAACTCAAAAAACATTAGTTCAAGTAGACAAAAAAAACATCCAACTAGTTCCATGATTCAAACTTACACGCAAGAAGTTAACCGTATCTAAACTACTCCTTGGTGGTTGTAAATCTTCTCCATGTTCTATTCCTTTCCTGAAGAAATCCACACAGTACTTCTCCTTGGCTTCTTCATCTCAAAGCTCTCCCCTTGCAAGCTTCTCATATAACTGAGCCTTCTTCTCTAACGCAGCGTAGCTAACTGCTCCGTCTTTAACAGCTTTAAGTTCAAGCTTGTCCCTGCACTTCCCACATTCAAAACAAAACTATTGAATCCAGAACCAAGTCCTATCGTGCCCAAGTTTCATACTTTTTTGCTTAATCCACATCCAATCTTAATCAATTAACAAACCCTAATCTCAAATCATTAAAACCCTAATTCACAAAGCATCTTGTTTCACCGAATTGATAGCAATTTCAAAAACGAAAGATTCAATCTTACATGAGAGCGCGACTCTCAACTCCGGAGTTCTTCGTGGCGAAAGAATCTTTAGCGGCGATCCTTTCTTTGGCGCGATGTTACTGAGCATCGGATCCAGTGAAATCCTTCGTCTGCTTAGCTTCTTCCTGAGACTTATAGAGCTGAGCCTTGAGCTCCATGATTGAGGAAGGACCCAAGCTTTCGATGGCGTGATTCTTCTTCGGCATGATTCGATGATTGACCAATGAATTGAGGGGTAGATTAGTATTTTGCATATTAAAATTTTAGTGGTAAAGATGATTAGTGTAAAAGTGAAATAGTGTATCATGAATGTGCTAGTTTTAGCAATTTCCCATAAAAATATATCGTAATATAAAATTTTGTGTTTGCAAGTGGTAGCAAAGCCTTTAGTAATATAGTAGACCATCTATAAATTTTAAAATTTGATAAATTAACAAATTCTATAAATTACTAAAAGAAATTTGTTTCAATTTGGACCGTTTCTAAATTTGAAACAAATCGATAAAATAAAAAGATAATATTTTTTGGAAAATTCTATGTAAAGATATAGTCCTATTAAAATTATAGATTAATATAGGTATACATATTTTATATAAGTAAGAACCTATTATTATATGTTTGTTTTATATTCACAATTGAATTTTTAAATTTTCTTAACACTTATTTTTGATGAGATTTAGTATTAATAACCTTTTTTAGCACAAAGTATTAATAACCAATGGTTAACATTCACATGCTGAAACATGTGAGATAAAAGGAATTTTTCAAAAAAAAAAAAGAGGAAATTACTAGAATGATACACAAAAGTTGGTATATGACTAGAATAGTATACATTTTCTAAAAATTACTAGAATGTTTTTAGACTCCTAGTAAATTACAATAAACACCCTTGTTTTAATTTTGTTACTATTCATACAAATTTAATTATTAAATCCACATCATAATTTTGACAATCCACATCACTAACTAATTTGTGTCATCAACAGTTACACTGGAAAATCAACAGTCCCATATCTCCGGTGAACAAAAAAAAAGTCTTAATGTCACATTCTTCTCCGTCACAACTCTCGTTAAACCCTAACCGATTACGAAATCACGAAATCCCGAAATCATCTTCGTCACAACTAATACTCTTGTTTCAAACAGTGTTTCCGATATCTTAAATCATCTTCGTCGACCTCGTTAAACCCTAACCGTCTCCGATATCATCTTCGTCGACATCCTCTTCTCCGCAAAAGTTTCGACGTAATCGTATCTACGACATCATCTTCTCATCTTCTCTGGTATGTTGTGCCTGAGTTTGATTTACGTCGTGTCTGAGTTATAGATTATGT